GTAAAATAATAGATGAGAAGAAATTAATAAATATTTTCTTAGAAGAAATTAATAAAAGAAATAAATGAAGAGCAAAAATAGAGAGCATTGATTGAGTATATAAAAAATTTTATTTCCTAAATTTAAAGATTTTCTCATCTATAATATACTTTTTATAATTAGAGAGCTCCAAAAGGCTTTTTAAATTTAAAAAGCATCTTGTGCATAATAGAGAGTCTTTTAAAATTTAAAGAGAAGAAATTTTGACACATTTCAACAAACTCGCTATTTTTAGTTCTTTATTTTTTTTTATAACACCCTCTCTCTCTCTCTCTCTCTCTATATATGTGTGTGTGTGTGTGTGTGTGTGTGTGTGTGTCCCTATTTGGCCTCCATTCTCTTTCATTTTTTTCCTCTCTTATTTTCAACCACACAATCTTTCATAAAATAATATTACACGTAAATCGAAATTTTTTCATTCTTTTCCAACCATACATTCTTAAAAAAAAAAAAAAAAAAACTATTCCAAAATATTAAAATTTGGAAAAAAATGGAGGCCAAATATAGTTTGGGTTGTTCAATAAGTAGAACATTGAAAATTGTAATTTATTAAATTAAATTAAGGAATTCTTGAGAGAACCCTTTTTTTTTTTTTTTTTTTTAAGTAAGATGCTCTTTCTTTTGAAAAATGGAACCTTGAAAGTTTGACTCTTATTTGAAGAGCCAAGTCATTCTCTATTTTTATATTATCAAGATTGCATATAATGAAATTACTAGTTTTAGTTATCACTATTTTAATTATTCATATTATATTAAATATTTTATTTATTGACATCTAAAAAAATATTTATATTAATTGAAAAATGAAGGAAAAAATAATAAAAGGATAGTTGAAAAAAGAAAAACAAAGAGTATAGAATAAAGAGTTTATTGGAGTATGTAAAACTCTAAATTTAAAATTTTCTTCTATTATAATCAAGACTCCCTTTAAAAATAGTTTCTTGGAGATAGAATTAATACTTAAAAATAAGTTTTAGATACTCTATTTTAACTTTAACATAAGCCACTTCTCAATAATATAGTTTTAAATTATTTAGATTATATTTGAACTGATTGACCATTCACATATTAAAAAAATTAAATATAAGATGAGAATAGATAAGTAAGTATTTCTTGAAAAAATGAAAAGAAGAGCCTAATAATAATTTTATTTTTAAATTTATTGAAGTTCTCTATTATGATTAAAATGCTATCAGGAAAAAAAAAGTTATCTTTAAAATGCTTTTAAAAAGTTAAAATAATAAATCTATTAGAACTTGCCATGTTCAACCCTCATTAATTTTCATTCAATTATATTTCATTTTTCTCTTTCGTATTTTCAATCACACAATCTTTCATAAAATAATATTACACGTAAATTGAAAACTTTTCCTTCTTTTTCAATAACTTATTTTTCAAAAAAAAAAAAAACTCTATTCCGCTAATTTTCATTATCACATAATGGGGGGCAAACGGGGCTTAATTTTCTAAAAGTAAAATAGAATATCGTCAAAGATGGCTTATTTTCTCCACCACCGTTTTTAGAGTTTGAAAAACATCCACATCCCAAAAATGGAATCTTCCATATCACTAAGAGCATTTAATGTAACGCATTGGGCCTCGCACGTTTTTTATTTTCTCTAAGACGGTGAAGATGTCTGTTTTTTCCCCATTACTTTAATTTATTCATTTAACGTAAGAAACGCTTTTCAACACACAATAAACTATCTTTACAAGGTTCTCATCCTGTCTGTACACTTCTTCCTAAGGACATTGGGCCTCCAAACTTGAATTTTACACCCAAAATAAGAGTCCCATTTTTATTAATCTTATGTGCCTTATATTTTCATGTACTCGACTATTAAGAAGAAGAGATATAGACGACCATAGTCTGTTATATCGTGTCTATATCCATTGAGCTAAAAATGATCAAGCAAGAACATTGAATATTGCGAACTGGGCTTGTTCAACCTAATGTATTAATAAGTCTCTTTGATACGACTTTTACTTTAACTCTTACCCCTTGTAAAAGAACTTCATGATAACATTATGTTATATCAATTTTTCTCCAAAAGATATTCTAACGAGATAAAGTACTATTGGAAAGATATCTACACATATTCAAAAATAGATTCTCAGAGCATCACGAACAACCTCTCTATTTTTAAAGAACATATTCTACCATATGGAGAGCGTCTATAAATTTAGAAAATTAAAATTTTGAAATACTCCAACAAACTCTTTATGTTCAACACTTAATTTTACTACTCCAAAAAAATATTTATTATTTTTTCCTATATTTTAGTTTAACTAACTTTTCTTTATATTATTTTATAATTTTCTGTATTGAAAATTGAAACATTTTGAATGCATTTAATTATAGAAAGTGAGCCCCTTTATATATTAAAATGTTCATTGAAAGAGTCTTATAGAGCGTGATTTTAAAAATTAACTACTTAGAATATCTCTAAGAGAATATTTAAACACAAAATACTCTATATTTTAGAGAGTTAATATTTAAAATGAGCTCAAAGAGACTTTATTTTAAAATTTTAAAATAGAGAGTGTGTTTGGCTCTCCAAATTTAAAGAGTCAAACTCACTATCTATTCTTAATGTACAACGATTACATTTAATACATTACAAATTTCAATACTCTATAATTTAAAATTTTCAAATTATATTTGAATTGATTGGTCTTACACTTCAATAAAATATGTGGAGAAATTATTAAATGTTTATTGGAAAAAATAAAATAAAGAATCAAAGTAGACAGTTTGTTGGAGTGTATAAAAAAAATTACTCTATAAATTTAAAGATTCTCTGTATCATGCATAAGATACATTTTATAAATAGAGAGCTTTTTGAAGATACTCTTAAAATAGAAAGTATTTCATGTTTAAAAAATCTACGTTCTAATAATCTCATAATCAGCTTTTAACTTTTTAAAACTCCTACTAAATGAGTCTAATTATGTGTAATTAAAATTATTGACAGAAAAATATATATATTATGGTGGGATGCAATATACAATTGTGACCCTGTTCTGTTTTTCTTGGAATAGTAGATTAGAAGCTTGGAATCATGTGAGAAGCATTAAATGCAAGAGCAAAGGGAATCGATCTTAGGGTTCTACAATTTCTTATAATTTAGGAGTATCAATTCAGAAACCCTCGTGATACAAACCACTAGCTCATCATGTGTAATTGTTTAATTTTTAAATTTTGCAATCTAATATGCATAGTGTTTACTTCAATGTCAAATTAATTCTTATTTTCAACAAACTTATGACTACTTGAATCACCCTGTTTAATTCGACTTCTCGGGCATGTTTCGTCTGCATAAAAGAATCTTTTTAAATATTTAGGGTATGAGCTTTTGCTCTTTTTTTTTCTACTTCTTATAGAAGATGTTATAAAAAGCACATTGAGCCAAAACAGGTTAAAAACATTTTCTTAATTATCGAAACAGTTTTTAACTTTCAAAAGTTTTACCGAATGGATCCTTAGTTAAGCAGTAAACGACTTATCACGTACAAGTACTTACAACTAAAAAAGTGAGGAAAACATGCTTTTAAGCAGACCAAACTTATATAGTACTCATGACATGTAATATGTAGAAAACGTGAAATTAAAGTAATTACTGCTAACTTATTTGCATGTGATAACTGGATTCATGTGGGATCCCATTAATTTCTTGGTGGGTAGTTATTTTGTCTATTATTGTTAGTATTTTAGGAGAGAATATTGAAATTAAATTCAATAAAATGCATTTAATGAGTATAGTTTTTGCTCATGACACAAAATATTAAGAAACTTATAACTTCTAACAAAGAAATGACTTAGTAAATTTAATAAATACATCAATGGAAAACATTTTTATGAAATTATCATACCTTAAATTCATGTACATATACAAATACTAGAAAGTATTTTAATGAAGCATATCAAACTTTAAATATCTTCCCATTGAAACTACGAATTCCCAATCGAATTTTTTTTACACGAACGAGGCGATTTAGAATCAAACTATATAAATTATTCAATGTTGAGGGTGATCATAAGATGTTACAAGAAAGGGAAAAAATCTTCTTATCATGAAGTTATTATAATTATAGGGACAATAGTTTTTGGAGTCCTTAATGTTGGATTCTTAATGTGTAGAAAATTGATGTCCATGTGAATGTTCAAGAAACAAACATTCACGTCGAACCCATCTTGACCTTGCTTAGGGTATAGTGTCTTTGCTAAAACCCTAGCTATGCCTTCTCCTAGTTGTTACCATCAATTAATTGCTCCTGTCTTTCTAATCTTTAAACAAATACTATATATGTGGGATTCCCAATTGCCCTTTTTCTTTTTCTTTTTCTATTTTTTTTTTAAAGAAGTTTGTAGTAGACATTAGAGTCAAAGAACAACGTGGAAAATTAAAAAATTCATTGCTTGAAAAGCCAACCTATCACACGTAGTGACGGTGGTCAATCACTCACCCTTGATTTATAAATCTTCAATTTAGAAGTTAGACTAATGTAGCCCTTGATGCATGAGATGGTAATCTTTTCAAGCGGCCTAAATAATCAATTAATTTAGCTGTGTTTGCCAAGCTTTTTTTTTTAAATATATATATATATATATATATATATATATTCTTTTTTTTTAAAATGGAAAAATTACTTTTTTTTAAGTAACTTTTATCTTATTATCAAAATAAGTAATTTATTATTTTCAAAATAAACGCGATAATGAAATGTTTAAATAGTATATTGGTTAGGTTACGAGACATAATTATTAGTTATGTTACATTTTTGTTCGTCGTCATGTTAAGTACATCGTACCAAGTATGAGTAAATTTAATTAGGTTGAACAAAAGTTTCACATTATATAATAATCCATTTTATTGTGCATCTCCACCTCCATGTTGGACTATAAATAGGTTTCCTTACCTCATTCTTTTTCAAACTAACATCTTTTCTATCTCCTTGTCTCTTTATCTCTCTCTATAAAGTTTTTCAAATTTGCCGTCAATCTTAATTACTTTTGACACACCAAATGGGATCAGGTAGCTCACCCTGTGCTTCCTGCAAACTGCTGAGACGACGCTGCACCAAAGACTGCGTGTTCGCCCCTTATTTCCCCCCTGATGACCCTCACAAGTTTGCCATTGTTCACAAGGTTTTTGGTGCTAGCAATATCAGCAAGATGTTACAGGTTTGTTGATTTTCAACTTCCTTTCAATACGTGAAAAAGGGCATCAGAGATTTCAAAATCTGTGGCTGATGAGTATTAAACCCTAAATAGAAAAAAGAATGACATTTTCTCATTTTTTTTTCCTGAAATTTTTTTGCAGGAGCTTCCTGTACATCAAAGAGCAGATGCAGTAAGCAGTTTAGTGTACGAAGCAAACTCGAGAATGAGAGATCCTGTCTACGGGTGCGTTGGAGCAATCTCTTATTTGCAGAATCAAGTGGCCCAACTACAAATGCAATTGGCTGTGGCTCAAGCAGAGATTTTGTGCATTCAGATGCAACAAGAACCTACTAATTTGCAGCCTCAAATGGTTGAACCAGCTGATGAAAACTGCCTTCTTTTTGGCAGTAATAACTTGGATCATAACCTACAACAATATCTCAGCTTTGCTTCTTCTTCTTCTTCTAGCAGTTCTATGGTGCAAGACTCGGTGAAAATCGAGTCTCTCTGTGCTGTTGATCCCTCCGGGGATCAGTTCGTCCCCAAGAGGAGCCCAACTTACATGTTTGGAATGTAGTACTTAATACTATTAAACCAAAACATCGACATGATTTCACTTTTATAATCTTGTTCAATGTAGACCGTCCTAGAAATGTTGCTCATGTATATATTCTTTTAGTCTTTTTGCTTAATTCGTCGATGGTTTCTTGACTCTGTATTATATTTTTGCTCCACTTTTTCCTTCTCTTAGCGTGTGCTTTGTCTTTTCGCCTTTATATTTTCTGAAACTATTTGTCAATCACAGACAGGGGGCAGCTTCAGCATGTGAAAGACTTGGAGTAAGAATGAGGAAAAAGTTTAACATTATATATTCATTTCTCTTGAATATTAATTAACAAGTAATTTCCATAAACTAAGTCGTACGTGTCGGTGATTAAACGTTTTCACATTAATGATGTCAGAAATTTGAATCATGATAACTTTGAATTTTCCTGGTCTTCAGCATTTTAGAAAATTATTCGAATTTCGATAATAAGTCAACTATATATATAGCCACTGTTTGATCCCATTAAATTAAATTACATTATATTTCATTTTTCTTTTTCCTATTTTCAACCACACAATCTTCCATAAAATAATATTATGCGTAAATCGAAAACTTTTCCTTCTTTTTCAACCACTCATTTTTCTAAAAAATACTATTTCCCCCATTTTCATTTTCAAGTAATGGGCATCAAACAGGGGCATAAGTGGATATTACAATATACAAATAGGAGGAGCTTCTTAGCCAAACAGCTTAGTGAAGTGTCCACAGTTTCGCTCATATACCATCTACAAGGGGACCATCTAACGTTGTTCGCAAGCCATCAAGCCTCTGAATTACTAAGTAAAAGTGAATGGGTCCGAACCTTGTTTGTGTTAAGATTTGGAGTTCTATCTTCAAAAATCAATCTTATTAAGAATAATAGTCCAATTTTTTATGAATTGGTCGATGTGTTCATCTTTATTCAATGTGGGATTTTATCCCTTAATATGCTATCGCAAGATGGTAACTCGTTTAAACAAACCAATTTTGAAATTCATAAGCTCATTTTTTTAGTTTTAATTGAATCAAATTATTCGTTTAAGCTTAATGAATTCTTATATTATGTTAAGATTTGAGTTTCATATTAAAATGTCAACCTTGTTAAAAAGAGTAGTCCAACTCTTTATAAATTAGTCTATATTTTCATTTTTATTTGATGTGAGATTTTATCTTTAATGTTTTTCACCTTAAAAGGCATAACAAGCATGGCGGTTAAGGTAGGGGTCATGGAATCTTCCCAAATATTTAAGGCAAGAATCCCAACCGAAGAAGAAGAAAGAAAAGGGAGAAACTAAAATACAGACCAAGTTTAAAACACCAGAACTTGTGGCTCGAAATATGTAAGAGATGCGCTTTCTATAAAGCGATATTTGTCCCCTCTCAAAGTGCTTTCGAAATTTTCGATAGATAGCTTTGTCGAATATGACCAGCTGGTAAGAATTTGCACGAAGCAATGAAGTGAAATTTTCAGGGAAAAAAATTAAAAACTTCAAATGAAATTTCTGAAAATTTTGAATTTAGGATGGAAAAAGATTTTTTCTCACTCTGCGGCTGAAAGCATCTACAATTCAAGACTACAACTTTATTTCAAATATATAAGTTAGTCCCTCCAAAATTATTTCCAACTCCCAATTTTTCACTTAAGTTTGTTTTGGTCTTTTAACGTTAAACTTCTTCTTTTACTATTTGAACAAATTTTCTAACAATGCCCCATTTTGTTCAAACAAAGCCTTTCAAAAACAAACAGTGCTCATGAATATAGTAATGATACATTTTGATTTGAACATTAAACCTTAGTGCAAGTTTCACGACATAATTGCTAAAGTTTCAAGTAGCCTTACCATATTTGAATCAGTCATCCCTTGTGACAATATTGGTGATACAACAAACCCAAATACTATGGTATTTTTCTTGTTCTACAACATTCATTTATTGCATTGTATGACCTTGTACTCATCCTAATTTGTGAGCTTTCAAAAGTGAAATTCCAACTTTCAGTTGAAGCGGCACCAGTACTTCAACTTATAAGTGAATTTCTTCAAGTATTTTAATTACATTTTGAAATATTTGTAACTTATATATTGGGCCTTGTTAAAAGTTTATAAAATTTAACTATATGTAACAACTCGCACTAGTTATTTGTGGTAGGACAAATTTTTGATGTAATGCTCAACTGTCCACTTATTGAATGATTTGCTTAGTTGTTTATACCCTTTGAAACTAAAATTACTGATTTAGTAATGTTAGAAAGGGTTGTCATCATTGGCGAATTTTTTAGACAAGGAGTTTTCGCTCCATCCTTCTTGATGTTTATCCTGCATTCTTTTGAAAAAAGTTTAGTGAATTGATAAGCTAGATTCTCGCTAGACTTTACATATGTATATGTGAAAGAAATTATTCTACTTTTGATTAATTTCCTCATATATTCATGTCTTGATTAATTCTTTGAAAAAGATTTAGTAAATAGATAAGCTAGATTCTTCCTAGGTTTTGCGTATGTGAAAGAAATTATTTCAATCTTGATTAATTTTCTAATGTAGTCTTGTCTTAAAAAGTTTTTTGATAGAAGCTTAGTAAAGGGATAAGCTAGATTCTCACTAGACTTTAACATACATGAGAAACTTTTACATTCCTGATCAATTTCCCCAGGTAGTTATGTCTTCGACTCGAATTATTCAATTTTGAATATAAATTCGAATAGTTATTTAGATATCAGAGTGTAATTTCGTTCACCCCCTTTCATGTGGGAAGCCAATGAGAGTCACTAATTATCTATTTAGCTGTAATGACTCGAATTATACAATTAAGTTATGTCTGACAAGGTGTTTATAAATATGGATAAACGAATGCCAAATAAGTAAATATTTTTGTGAATTCTATGAAATAAGTGAATAAAAAGTTATTTGATCAAATGTATTCTTTGACTAAAAAACACCTAAAAAACAATGAGCCAAACAGAGGCTTTCAACTCAAAATTCCTAACATTGTCTCCAATGTTGAAGCTGAAATTTGAACTGATTTACCTCGAGCCCTAAAAGGGAAACCAGCAAAAAATAAACTTTTACATGCCTTAAAGTCATTAAGTTTTAAGGAGTTAAGGAAAATTGCTTTGTAATGAGGAATTAGATTGACTGAATCTTTGACTGAATCTTCCTTTCATGTTTAATTTAATATAGTTATTAGCGAGCTTATTCTTTATTATAATGTCGTTATGCACCTTAATTTCAATATGGGGAAGCTACACGAACTGACTTCTATAGATGACTTCCTTAATTTCTGAGGAGAAATATTTATATTTTATTATATACCTTTTTTTAATCATTTGTTTGATTAAAAAGAAATAGAAATAATTGCATAATATCAGATTATTAATTGTAAAGAAACTATAAATTCAAGATTATAATATCGTATTTAACAAGTTTCATCATAGTAAGTCATCCTTATCGGTGAATGATTGAGTTGGCATGTTAGTCATAGGGCTCCAAAGTAGTAAAGGTTAAGTGAAGTTATTCACTTAAAAATTCTTGATCAAGGAAAATGACTCCTAGTAGAGTGGAGGAGGTATTAGGAGTAGAACATGTCAACATGATAGTGAGAATGTTTGTGAAACCACCTCACTTTTAGGTGGAGATGGAATTCCATTTCTATAGAAGTTAATACATGTACAGCTGTACAATGAAAAGGAAAGATGTATGATAGGGAAGGAAAATAATTACATCTCTATAATCAAGGATTAACTGCTACAATCAAGGAAAGGATTGCTGAGAATTAGGAGAGGATTCTCGAGAATCCTTAACACCCACTGCCACTCCGCAAGCTAAGCATGGGATGAGAGCACACACGTAGCTTGGATCAAAAGAAGGTGAAGAGTGGCCTCGAAACACTCTTTGTGAAGACATCGGCAACTTGAAGTGTGAAAAGGACATGTTGAGTACGAATATGACTAACAACCACGAGCTCTCGAAGAAAGTGATAGTCTAGAGCAATGTGCTTGGAGCGCTTGTGAGTTACTGGATTGGAGCTCAAGAAAACAGCACTTTTGTTGTCGCATAGAAAAAGGGGACAATTTGTAGTAGAGACACACAGATCGCGAAGAAGGTGTTCTAACCATAAAACCTCAGTAGCGATGGGAGCAAGGGCACGATACTCTAACTCACAACTAGAGCGAGATACCGTGGGCTGCTTCTTAGCACTCCAAGAGACAAGATTGTCACCAAGGTAGATAGAGTAGCCCGAAGTAGAGCGTTGAGTATCAGGGCATCCAGCCCAGTCGGCATCAGAGTAGGCGATAATCTTGGCGAAAGAGGAGGCAGTGAACATTAAGCTAAAGTGAAGAGTACCCTTGACATACTGAAGAATGTGCTTCACAGCTTGGAAATGGTCATTAGTGGGAGCATGCAAATATTGACTGACTGAGTTGACTAAGTACACAAAGTCTGGGCGAGTGATGGTCAAATATTGCAAGGCACCAACAAGAGAGCAGAAAAATATAACATCTACAAATGGGGGACCATTGGAGGAAAGGCGTTGAGCAAAAGCCATAGGAGTAGTCATTGGTTTGCAGTCAAGAAGTTGAGCCCTAGCAAGAATGTCCCGTGTATACTTGGTTTGGCTAAGAAAGAGTCCAATAGAGCTGGAGGTGACTTCAAGGCCAAGGAAATAACTTAGAGAACCCAAATCCTTGGTAGCAAATTCCGAATGAAGTTGCCTAATGAAGCCATTCAAAAGAGATGCATTGTTGCCAGTGAGAACGATGTCATCAACATACAATAAATGATAAATGATGTGCTGCTGGGGATGAAGAACAAACACAGATGGATCAGCATGATTGCAAGTAAAACCAAGCTTTAAAAGAAAGCAACTAAATTGCTAGAACCAAGCGCGCGGGGTCTGTTTTAGGCCATAAAGAGCTTTCTTGAGTTTGCAAACATGATGAGGGAAGCGGGGATCAACATAACTAGGAAACTGCTCCATGTTAACATGTTTCTGCAAAGTACCATTAAGAAAAGTATTTTTAACATCAAGTTGGCGGAGGGGCCAACCATGGGTGATAGCCAGAGAGAACGCAACACGAACCGTGGAGGCCTTAACTATTGGATAAAGGTGTTAATGTAATCAAGGCTAGGAAGCTGAGTATATCCTTTAGCAACAAGACGGGCTTTGAGATCATCAATGGATTTGTCGGACAGATACTTGTTGCGGAAGACCCATTTGGAACCTACAATGTTCATTTTGGGAGGTCGGGGAACAAGATCCCATGTATGGTTGCCGCGGAGAGCTTTAATTTCATCATCCATAGCCGCAAGCCATTAGGCTGTTTGGTAGCAGACTTGAAACCTTGTGGCTCTGAGGAAGTAAGGAGTGCAGATAAAAGACTAGAGACATGTTTGTTGAGATAAGCTGGATATCGTGGTAAAAAAATGCCTGCTCTAGCTTGGGTGACCATTGGGTGAGAGGATGGAGCTGTGGACTGAGCATTAGGAGCTGGAACATCAACGATGCCAAGATAACCTTGGCAGTCTAGGAGTGGGACAAGTTGGCTCTTCCAGAGTAAATAATTGTTTGCAGAGAGCTCGATGGTGACCATGTGAACCACTGTATTGAAGGAGAAAAGTTCTGCCATGGAAAGAAAGTAAAAAAAAATAAAAAAATCAAAGGTTAATCTAGTAGGGCTTTGATACCATGAGAATGTTTGTGAAACCATCTCACTTTTGGGTGGAGATAGAATTCCATTTATATAGAGGTTATATACATGTATAGTTGTCCAATGGGGAAGGAAAACAATCACATCTCTACAATCAAGGATTAACTGCTACTGTCAAGGAGAGGATTGCGAGAATTAGGAGAGGATTTTGGAGAATCCTCAATAGATAGTATACTCCATAAGACACCAAAAAGTTTGACCACCAGCAACTTCTACACCCCTACTTGCGCACAAAACAACAATTGGGTTTACATACAAACCTTGAATCAACAATCTAAACTCTAGCACCGTTGTCGGTCCACATTCCCCAAATTAGGAAGGAGATGGAGGTTATGGCAACAAAACAAAGAATGGACAATAGAGGTCGTGGTGATATGGATATAATTTTAAAAAGGCAAATTTTAGTTCTGTTTGCTCCACATGATATTGTTCAATTTCATTATTGTTTTCGAAAATGGTGATGGTGGTGCATAAGAGTGTGTGGGGGAGGGGGGAATGGTAGGTGGTTAGGGTAAAAGTGTTAAACGGTAGAGAGAGAGTAGACGAAGGCTTTAGTTTATGTAGTACAGAATTTGTATGGTTATTTTTAAAACACCCTTATTTTTTAACTATTTTATAAGCATGTATGGGTCTAATTTCCTCATATAGACCACACAAATTAAAACCCACTGAGCAACTACTCTAGGTCCAAAGAAAATGCCCCACTGCTCCCAAGGCACATCCCAACTGGCAAAGATGAGGGCGCTTCAAGGTTGGCAGATCAGAGGTCGTGAGTTCGATTCCTGGAAGGCTCTTGGAAGGCAGATATTCTCCTGGAAGGCAGGAGTTCTACTGGAAGGCAATGTGCAAAGATGAGAAACGACTTGCTTGACACTTTGGAAGATCAGTTGGGGGGGCTCTTGAGCATTGGTCAGTTTGGGGCACAACCTACGGTTTAACCTGTCTGCAGCTTGAGGGGCCAAAGTGTAGACTCCAGGATTAGTCACTGTAAGGTGGATACCTAGATATCAAAAAAAAAAATGCCCTACTATCCAAATTAAACCCAAATCTAGAAAGCAAGGGACCAGCCCCAGTGCTATTAGAAAAATAATGGGAAAGAGTACACAAACTAGGTTTTAAGTATACATAATTCAAAATTCAAGTTACAAGTTTGATTAATGCAAAATTCAGGTTTTAACTAATTAATTAAGAATATTTATTAAATAATGATAATAAAGTCACAGTTACACGATTAATGGTCACAAATATACAATTATAGGTCACAGATTTATTCGTCGGTCACATATGATCAAATTAATTGGCCACAGATTTTTTCGAGGCCACAAATCAAAATTTTGATAGGCCACAAATTATTTCAAGGTCATAGATCATAGAATTTGGTCACGGATCAAAAAATTACGGGCCACATTTTATGTCATTGATCACACATCCAAAAAATTATAGATCGCAAGTCACGTATTTTCTAATTTGATGGTCACAGATTACTTTTTTAGTCACAAAATGATGAATTTCAAGGTCACAGATTAACACTCACTCACAGAGGACCAAATAATTGGTCACAGATACCCACCCGTCACCGACACCATCATCATCAACAACACAACCACAACCACCAACAAACGCCGACCACAACCAAACTACCAACAAAAACTACCACTGTGTCGTACACCACCTCCACCGTAGCTAGAATCCACCATGACGGCCACCACCAAACACAACAACATAACCACCGTCTCCATCGCCAACACGACCACTGCTAGAAACCATCACGACCAGGACACAATCACAGCTAGAAACAACCACCGAACACACACAACAATACAATTTCCTCCCAACCTCACCACCACCCAAATCACCACTGCCAACACAAGCACTCCTACTACCATCAGCGCCGTCGACGCCATTAGTAAAACAACCACAATCACCACCATTTTCAACCACCAACAAAGATTTTCAACTACAAAACCACCACCATCGACACCAACAAAAATCAGAGTCCTTTTGGATTACTGGAATCGGATGTCTAAGGAGTAGATGCCATCGCATAGCGTCGAAGTTCAGGCATCGTTAGAAGTGGAGGCATGGGAGAAGTACCGTTGGAGTAGAGGCAATCACCATCGACTGCAGCAGCGTCGATCGACGCCGATCTTAAAGCTCCACCAGTGGCGAGCAGCCGTGAGCTGCCTCTACGGGGTCGTGTGTGGCTAAATTGAGAGCAGCGCACATCGAACCTGCTGTCGGCCAGATCTCTAGGCGAAGCTCCATTTGAAGAAGAAATGAAAGGTAGATGAAGTACCGAGAGAGGATAGGAGGTAGAGATGAAAATGGATTCGGAGCAGAATAGAGTTGGCTCCGAGGCGGTGCTCCGGCGACGGTGCTTGGCAACGACAACGATGTGTGGGGAGAGGATATAAAGAAAGAAGACGGGAAGGAAAGGAAAAGATGAGAGAGAAAATAATTTAGGTTTTAATTGGGTGGATGGGATAGGGTTTTAATTGGGGGTGGAAACCTGACATTTGCACAAATAAACATGATAGTAGATTTTTGAATTGTGTATTTAAAAAACCTGGATGCGTGTAATTTTCTCAAAATAATACCCAAATTAAACCCAAATCTATTGAGCACGGGACCAGCCATTATATGTAGGGACGTGACAACAAGGTGGGATGAGAACTAAACCCCTATTTGACAGACACTTTTTGTAAAGGATGAGTTTTTGAAATAATATTTTTTTAAAATATGCTAGTTTAAAATTAGGGAAAAAAAATTTGGTTTACATGAAAAAATATTTTATTGTGAAAACATGTGGTTGAAAATGAATACGAGAAATTTTTTTTTAAAAAAATGATTACCAAACAGGGGCTAAAATATATATTTTTTCAGCTCGATTTTATTAAATTTATTATTTTCATATTATTTTTACATACAATTTAAATATTCTAAAATAAAAATAAAATAATTTAAAATGAGAATCATGTCATTCATCTCGAGTTAAGTAATAGGACAATGCTATGCAGAATAGGACCGGACATTACAAGGTTGAACCTATTGGCCATTAAAAACAAGTCAAGAGAAACCTAGGCTTGACTCTCGTCTACACGTTGCCATGTGTAAAGAAAATCTCTCATTGGGACACAAGCTAATAAAATGTTTGGGAATCGAGGTTGATCATGTTGTATTTATTTATGGACTAGCATCTCATTTAATCATTGTTTGAGCCCATAATGGGATGAACCTTTTTATTAACACACATGAAAGCCCCTACTCTCGCTCCACTCAATATAGAATTGGCTCATTAAATCCTATATATATGTTGGCCCTTCCTCCTCTCTATCTCTTAAGTAAGAAAGGGGAAATCAATTGTAGGGTTGAAGGGGGAGTAGAGAGTAGTTCTCTCCATGGCAAGATTTCTTCATCTTTTGCAACCTAAAGGATCCATGGAATCTCAATCACAAGCTATAGGAGTTCTCTCCATGGCAAGATTTCTTCATCTTTTGCAACCTAAAGAATCCATGGAATCTCAATCATAAGCTATAGGAGGTATGTTTTCTTTTATTATTGTTGAACACATGCTACAACCATGAGAATGGATTATTATCTTTTCTTTTTTTTAACAAATCAATCACAACGTAACCTTTGGAGAGAAATGTCTTTTGAATATGTAAAAACAAGCTTTGCATATGATGCCAAGATTAGAGAGAGAATAGTTGCATATCTTTTGTTATTTGGAATTGCATTATTTTTAGAATAGTACAAGAGAGAGTATTTATAGTGTTACAATTGAAGTTGTAACTGTTGGATGGCAGCGCACGTGGTTTTCATCCGGCTTACTGGGATGTCTCATTGCAGAAGTCCCATCACCTGCTTGTACTAGGCTACACTTAATTATTTGGGTAAGGGAAGTTTCATATGGTCTGTGTCGGCACTCTTGATTGATGAGCTGACAAGACTTGATTTGTTTGGGCTAGAGGTTGTCACATCAATAATTTTTACCAGATCCCTAAAAGATCTTCTTAGAAAATGTGTTTAACTCAGGGCTCTTAAAAATTGAGGATTGTTGATGAAATTATTCTACGATCAAAAATACCATAAGTGCACAGTTCGTTAACAAGTAATAAAATAGATTTTTTTGAGTCAAAGTATCATTCCCACAAGGATTATACTAGTTTAAGTTCAAATTAGTTTAGCCTTAGCCGAAACTATTGAAAGTTGTGATTTTCCTCTAACAAATTAAATGACCTAATTACAAATGCAAAACCTAATTCAACTAAAATAAAATGCAATGTTATAATTAGCAAGTGTTATAAAAACATGACAATAAAAAGCGTACTAGGACCACGAATCCAATTATATCAATCTTCTTTAACCTCTAAACTTTCAAATTGACAATACGGTTCAATTATGAAGATCAATATTCCTAATTTGTTTAACAATTTTTCTCGAGTAGAATTAAACCTATTTTTACAAGTGACCCAACTATATTTATATGATAGATGCAAACATGTAAAAATGCATTAATGAATTTGT